TAATATTGTATATATATGCTTTATTAATCCCTTGGGAAAAGTAAATATATAAGTATTGGAGTAAGTATTGGTCAACATCATACAAGTCACACCATCTATATCCAGCTGTGGTGTACTACAGAGAGAACCTGCAGTTTTCACTTCAGATCAGATCTACCGACATAGGAAACCCAACAAAAATTAGTTAACAAAATTAGTTAAAAACTGTTATGAGGGTGTGACAGGGCAGTGGTGGCTTAATGGTTAAGGAAGAGGACTGGGGTCCAGAAGGTTTCAGGTTCGAGTCCAACAGCTGCCAAGTTACCACTGAGCTATGAGCAAGGCACTGTCTCCACACAGGTCACATTTCATTGAGTGCAGTGGCGTGCTGTGTCACACTGACAAATAATTCACAGAGTGTTAATTACAAAATGTCTCATATTTCCAATAATTCCTCATGGTAACATTGATTAAATGCATAGTGAAAACTATTTATATATATATTTATTGTGATACTTCAAGCTATCAGCATATGGTAGATTTGGCAGACATCTGCAATTGTTTGTTAACTTTGGAGCAAGCGCTAAGGACTGGAGCTAACTCATCCACTTTATTTTTGTCAGATTTATTTATTTGCACTATTGACTTTTTCCAAGTCAGTGACCAAACATGTATGTATTTGCAATTCCATCAAAATGAAATAAATGAATAAAAGAAGAAGATAAAAAGGAAGATCAACAGTAAAGAAAATTGTTGCCTTAACAAGAAAAAACATATACCAAGTCGCTCTGGAGTATAAGTCCCCCCAGCCAGCAAGAGTACCCTCTAGCGGCTGTCAGTGTAATAATAACAAACATGTGAAATTATATATTCTAATATATAAGTTGCAGTTGAGTATAAGTCACAAACCCAGCCAAAGGATGAAAAAAGTGTGACTTTTAGTCCAGAAAAGCGCACTACATGTCCTACCCTGGTCTTTATCTTAGTTTACCAACAATGGTGTTTTTTCAAAAATGTTCCCCACAAGTATAGCTACACAATAACACATTCAATATATGACAAATCAATGACTCAATTATTCTCAGTCCTGGATTGCTCAGCAATTACACATTGCTGGAGTTGACGTGAATGAGCTTTCAGGAGACACACTGGATAAAAAGGCTGAGCGCAAGTGTCTGATAACTAATGCTGAGCTGAGAACCAAAGAGTGACACTGCATTTTCAGAGCAGCCTTTCAGAGTCACTGTACCAGAAAATGTCAAACAACAGCAGACACAATGCAAAATGTGTTTAGTGTTTGTTTCCAGGTAGCTGAGAAGATTTATTGGATTTATGCGAAATGTCGAAATTCGTTTTTTTTTTTAACTTTCACTTGTACTAAAAATGGGCCTTAAGAGTTTGAGAGATATTTTTCTAAACACCGCTAGTGGATCCAAACCAGAGCTGTGGTCAGAGAAGACAGAGGTCCACATGTGTTTTGTGGACTTGGAAAAGGCTTTCGATCGTGTCCCTCGTGGTATCCTGTGGGGGGTGCTTCGAGAGTATGGGGTTGGGGGCCCTCTTTTAAGGGCTGTCCAGTCCCTGTACGATCGGAGTAGGAGCTTGGTTCGCATTGCCGGCAGTAAGTCGGACCTGTTCCCGGTGCATGTGGGACTATGGCAGGGCTGCCCTTTGTCACCGGTTCTGTTCATTATTTTCATGGACAGAATTTCTAGGCGCAGCCAGGTGTCGGGTGGGGTCCAGTTCGGTAGCCACCGGATTTCATCTCTGCTTTTTGCAGATGATGTGGTCTTGTTGGCTTCTTCGAACCAGGACCTGCAGCATGCACTGGGGCGGTTTGCAGTAGAGTGTAACGCAGCTGGGATGAAAATTAGCACCTCTAAGTCCGAGGCCATGGTTCTCGACCGGAAAAAGGTGGTATGCACCCTTTGGGTTGGGGATGAAGTCCTGCCTCAGGTGGAGGAGTTCAAATATCTGGGGGTCTTGTTCACGAGTGAGGGTAGAATTGAGCGTGAGATTGACAGGCGGATCGGTGCTGCGGCCGCAGTAATGCGGTCGCTGTATCGGTCCGTTGTGGTGAAGAAGGAGCTGAGCCGAAAGGCGAAGCTCTCAATTTACCGGTCAATCTACGTTCCTACCCTCACCTATGGTCATGAGTTGTGGGTCATGACCGAAAGAACGAGATCAAGGATTCAAGCGGCTGAAATGAGCTTTCTCCGCAGGGTGGCAGAGCGCTCCCTTAGAGATAGGGTGAGGAGCTCTGTCACGCGGGAGGAGCTCGAAGTAGAGCCGCTGCTCCTCCACATCGAGAGGAGTCAGCTGAGGTGGCTTGGGCATTTACATCGCATGACCCCCGGACGCCTCCCTCGGGAGGTGCTCGGGTGCCGTCCCTCTGGGAAGAGACCTAGGGGAAGACCTAGGACACGCTGGAGCGACTATGTCGCTCGGCTGGCCTGGGAACGCCTTGGGGTCCCCCCAGAAGAGCTAGAGGAAGTGTCGAGGGAGAGGGAAGTCTGGGTGTCCCTGCTCAGACTGTTGCCCCCGCGACCCGGCCCCGGATAAGCGGTTGAAGATGGATGGATGGATGGATGGATGATTTACTACTTAATTACATATGTGCTCGGGACAAGGGAAATCCCCTTGTATAACAAAGTCTTTTAGCCCAATGGCAGAGCATTAATTTGATTTAGAAAAAAATTTAGTTAAACAATGAATCACACTTTAGTTACACCACAGACTTGCATACACACACATATACAAATGGAAATGTAAATATTGCAAACTGCAAATATTTATCCTACTTTTCTTAATTCTACATGTGAAATTTCAGAGAGATGTCACTAAGCAAAATAACTAATTTTAGATAACCAACTATTTGTTCTACAAACTGCCTGAAGTTTAGCTCAATATTACATTATAAATAAAATACATGACATCCCACAAACTTTAAACCTATATATGGAAATTGTGACTACACATGAACCTCAAATAGTTGCACTGTGCTAACTTTGTTGAAATGTCAGCAGGGCAAAACAACCAGCCTCCTGATAACAAGAGCGGTATGAGGGGCAGAAAAACAACCTGTGAAGAGGCTGGGACCTAAAGGACACTGATAACCAAGACACATTCTCTATTTCTGGCTGGTCTTCACATACTCAGACCACAGTCTTTGACACATACTTTGGAAGCATTTAATACACAGTGAGGCCCACACTAAGATAAATGACAGCTAACAGCTAATTAGCTGTCCGAAAACTGCACTTCACAAACATTTACAAAACCTTTTTGTACAAAAAGTCATTTTTTCAAAAATAGGTTTAAGTGAATTGTATTGTGTCATCTGCATATAAGATAAAAAAACAACAAAGCTTTTTGTTATTTCTCAGATAACAGTTGCATAAGAAAAATCCATATTGTGTACATGTAACATAATGAAGAGAAAAGTATTCTTTGGTTTTATTTGATTTTTTGTTTAATTTTTTTTAATTTTTGGTTTTATTTATTGTCTATTTTGTAAATAACAAACTGGTCAAATACAAAAATAGACAAAATTTTTTTGTTAAAATAACTATGCCATCAGCTGTTCAGTACACATGTTAGATTTCAGTGGTTTCCAGTGGTTTTTCACATTTGGTTGGGTCTGCAGCAGGAAAGTGCTGAGACACCAAAAGGCTTTCCTGAGCACACACAGTCACATAGCCCCACACATTCAAAGAGAATTTCCCCAAACTCTCTTCACACCAACTTTCTAGAACACCTCTACTCCCTGGGAACAATGGGAGATCTTCACACAACAATGGGAGATCTCCCAATCTACCTTCTCACAG